TATATATATATATATATATATATATATATATATATATATTTATATAATACACACACACACACACACACAATTATATAGAATAATCTGAATTTAAGTGCAAAGCAGATTTAAATGCGCGAAAATTTAATACACCAAAACTTAATGCGAACTTATGATTATGTCATACAAATTGATTTATATTTCTCGGTAATACCTGCTGTTGTGGTTGTACTTGTTGTATGCTGGAAGTCTGCATAGTTTGAACCGTCACTGGAGTCGTAATGTGTTGCGCAGTTGTCACTTGCGTGGACGAAGCTGAGAAAACAATAAATCAATTAGAAAATATTATAACACGATGATAATTACATTTATAGGTCGTATAGGAGAATATATATAAAGACTGCAAAATATTCGGAATTTCAATAAATTATTTGGTTATTAATGATCTTAATAATTCTTCAGTCTTCTTATTTTAATTTTTTTTATGTTAAAACTGAACTTTTTAAATGTACTTTCTTGTGCAGTTAAAAGTATTCGTATTTTTTAAGCAAAGAAGTGACAAAAATACGTACCGTTTGTGAGTAAGTGCGCAAGTAAGACGTTGTTATTTAGATTTAGAGCTGGGTCGCTCACTGCAGATACTAACGGTGGATGTATCCTAGGTGCTGCTAGGGACGAGCTGCTACGTGATCTGTTCCTTCCCTTTATTTGGTACTAAAATGTAGAAAAATTAACTAACAGTAAGATTTGAAAAGGCACATAAGGAGCAAGCACGGTTGTCTTAATGCTATTAAATACTAATATTACTTTTTAATATTAATATGATTGTGGGAGGATAAAATTGTCCAGTATGTTAAACGCACGTATCGAAATTTTGCTTCGATTATCGTACCCGGAGAATCAACCTTCCATACTTAGACCGATTCTTGAGTCCCAATTTTTATACATATTTTTTATATATATTTTTATATATATTTTTATATATATTTTTTATTAAAATCCCAAAACCCCATTAAACCGATGACTCAAATAGATTCATTATATATGTTGTGAAAAAACTGCCTCCGCCAGGACTCGAACCTGGAACCTACTTTCCGGGCGGGACGCCTTTCCATTCGGCCACCGAGGCTTCGACAGTAATCTCGCAACACAATGTTTATAAATTCTCTAAGATGTAGAAAAATTCTTTAATGTCTGTCTCAAGCAATATAGATGTTAAGTAGAAAAATTAATAATGTAATGTACAATTGAGACTGGAATTGAAAAACTAAGATTGAAATTAAAATTCACAGAGCGCTAAATTCTTGCGAGATGATCTACAATCTTGCGTAGTACGTACGTTCTTAAAAAACATATAAAACTTCCTCTACTAGATTAAAAGATTTTTTTTAGTTTACAGTGCTTTAGAAGCTACACTGACCTTAGGTATGGCGAAGATCTCTTCTGTTTCCGCGTTGGACGTAATAGGTTGAGGTAGTAGTTTGGTAGGGTGTAGGGCAGGCGCGGTGAGATCTAGTCCAGAAGGCCTGCATCGCAGTAACATCTGCGACTGCGACGGCTGCTCCGTTGATACCGATATCACTTGTTGCGTAGGATGTGTCTGAAAGTATATGCAATTAGCATTCGTTTGCGTACAGTTCTAAAGCTACTACGTTATCGACATTACCCTACCTTGAAATTATTGGTGTTAAATTTACACTGTTGAGCGTTGAAATTCTGAGTCAGGTTCGGGAACTTGTAGCACTGCTGCGGTTGCACGATCTTGTACGGTTTCGTAGACATCGGTGGTGTTGGTGGCAAAGGCCTTATTGCTCGTTGCTGTGTTTGCAACGATGAATTCGCGGCCTGTGTGAAGTTATGTTGCACAGTCACCAGATTCTGCACATGACTGGCCGCGGCTGCGGCGGCGACGATCGACGATATCTGATTAACGTTAACCGACTGATCGTTTAGCGTTGTGATCTGCACCGGTTGCTGATTCTGCACGGGCGTTAATTGTATTTCCATTGCGTAAGATGATTGCGTCTGCGACGACTGGAACCCGGAATTCTGCGTTTGCTGCGCGCCCGCTTGGTACGTACTTGGTACGTGCTGCTGTTGGGATTGCTGTATCACGCGGCTACTTCTCGACGACGTCGCTCTACTACTACTCCGACTTTTCTCTCGCGTCGTCGGTTGACTCGTGACGGATGTCTCGAAGTTTTGCTGAATAGCGTTGTAATTTTCAGACATAGCTCTAAATAAAAGAAGATAAAGTAACCATGAACCAGTATTTACGAATTTATCGTATTCTTATCATCATGTATGAATTTGATTTGCAGAAATGCCTATATATAATTACATATATGGCGTCGATACAATTCTGGTGTATATAACGAAGATAAAGACAAATTATAAAGAGAAAATGGGAATATCCAACTCACATGCTATTCCTGTAAACACTCGATGATTCAGGCTGGGGCTGAGTATATATCTTGGCGGTGTAATGGAGATTCTGCATGTTAGCGTCCTGTGCTTCCTGAACCAGCGACTGTTGCTGTTGTGGACTTTGTTCGTTCTTCATCGTCGGATCCTCGTTTAGTTCGTTCATCTGAGTAATCGGGGTCATCAAGTCTAAGTCGGAATAATTAGCATTTAGACTGCTGTTCCGAAACATATCATCCTCCTCAGGAACTGGAGGCAATTTCGAATTTAGGAATTCTTAAATCAAGAAAAACCAAATATTACGTCACACAAACGAATATCGAGCGACAGTTTCGTGTCTAGTCTAATCAATAGCTTGATCATTATAGTACCTTGCAGCGGCTCCAGTTTGTTCAGCGTGTCCATGATATCATCGAGTTGCGGTTGTAGAGGACCCAAACTAGGTTGAATGAAGTCGGCTAAACTGGCACCTCGGGCTGTCGAGTCACATTTGATGCGTGTGAATTCGCGTTGCGTATAACACTCGCGCAGCAGAAGGATAAATTTAATTCGATCTTAACATCGATATTGATAGGAATTTTATCGGTAACGAAACAAACGTTACATTCAAGATCCGCCAGAGATATGCATGTACGATGAAAGAAAACAGTACTTCAACGTTAAAGTCTCTTGTATTCGTGCGAGAACCTTGAGTCATGTGTTAAATTACCGATTTTTAGTAAAATTACCGATTTCTCTAGGATCAGGAAAGTATATCGGTTGATTGGAACTGATGGTCGAGAAAAGGGTATCGGTCATCAATTCCATGTAGTCCTCGTCAACCATCATGCTTTCTCCGCCTGGAGCCCCGCTGTTGTTTTCGGGCGTACTGCCTGTACCCGTCCCGTAGTTCCCGGCAATTACGCTTCCACTGTCCCAATCCAGCATGTCCATTGATTCCATCTAAAAAAGAACATACAGTATCATATATTTTCGTTCTTACATATATTCTCACTGTTAATAATATATTATTAATATAATAATAATAATAAAGTATATTTTTATAAATATTACATTACATATGTATATTATGTCTTCTGTTCTTCTCTCTTTATGTGAAAACGTTAAATAGTTAAATTGTAAATGCCACATGTTTTATTGTGCATAACGTCGCATACCATCTCGGTGCCATCCTTGTTCGTCCAGCCGAGGATCTTGTTCCGATAGAACATACGCCATTTCTTGTACTCTGCTGTGACCGCTGCGAGCTTTCGCTTCCAGTATTTTCCCTCTAAGACCACCGCCTGATAAGAGATACGCCGTTGATTCACGCTCAAGCGCAACGGGTATTACGAGGCATTACGGGTCTTACTGCCGAGCGTAGAAAAACGCTTTACAACTTTATTAGCTTACGCGGATTTTCCCTTTAACTCAATGCCGCGCGCGCACGTATGCGTTAACCAGCGAATCGTTTCCGAAGAATTACAACTACGACGAATTATCTAATCAAACGAGCGGTTGCCGATTTGCAGTACAGGCACTTTCCAATTACGCAAGAGAGCAAGAGTGGATAATATAATAACAAATATATTATATTATCGCTGATATTTCGCGATCATTAATAACGACGTCGTCAGCCGCCGATCGAGTGCGTGAAATATTTTATCGAATTGACGCGAAAGACGTACCTCGGGTTTGTTGTGAGTATCGACGTCAAGTGGTGACGCGAATTGGCATACCAATGTGTTTTGCTTCAATATAACTAAAACAGAAAAACAAAATCATTCCATTAGGTGCAATTTCTGAAATATACTATTTTCAAGATACATTTCAATCGATTTACTGATTCGAGTTACTGATTAATTGATCAGGTAATTGTAATAAAGAGATAGAAGTCTGCGGGAAATTTCGAATAGTACTTTGAAGTGATTTCGCGCATTACCGTGTGCAGATGTTTCAAATATAATTTTGAGCCTCGCGTTTCCGCAGATTCCGCAGATAATCGAATGACAAAACCGATTGTCAAGTTAATTATTTCAATTACTTATTTAGCGTTACGATTAGGCTATGGTTATCAGTGACATGTAATGGTAATTGGTGGCCTAAAAAAGCGACACGAGACACATCGCAGACAAGTTTATACTAAATGCCATATTTACTATCGTTGCCTCACTTAACAAGTGCAGGCGTAGCGATTCAAGGAATCGTACGAGAAACTCAGGCGCAAAGCTAAAATCTAAGTCAATTTAGTACGGATCGGTTACACGTGTCAAGTTTGACCTACAATAGCGTCGATGTCAGTAGGTATTTCATTAAAACAGTAGAGAACCTTCATTATCTGAATCTCTATTGTGTTAATGTTCCACTGTAACAGAATAAACGCTCTAACAATGGAATAATAATAATTGCAGACAATAGATCGTTCCGTTGAAGTCTCATCTGACATCGACGCCACAAGATCAAGGTATTATCTTATTTTCTTCCGCGGGCCATTCTATCTTTTTTCTCTTGTTTAAGTTTGATTGCACAAGTGCAAGAAAAGAAGGAACACCCGCGTTTCGTAATTTTCACTCGATGTGAACTGTCTTCTTATCTCGACTCTCGCTTTCCACCCGCTTTCCACGTTCGCTGATCAAGTTCCACGAAAGTGCGTGCAGCGTAGAACGATTTCGCGGTTCGTAATGAGATGAGTTGGAGATAGGTCAGGTGACTGTGGAGTACCATTGGTGCGAATGTAGCGCGAGCATAGAGCTCTCTAAATAGACGAGTAATTACTTATCCGGCCATTCGACAGCAAGACAGCTAGCAGCTGTCTGAACTCGACAAGCGGCACCCCGTGTATATCACGGCAATCGAAGTGTCAATGAACTATAGCAAAGCAGGTTGGGATGATTTCGTCTAATCGTACGAAATTTCTAGGACTCGGTAAATCTATCATCGAAGAGTTTTTCCCCAAAACGATCTAATGATAAGATAGACGAAAGCCAGATAATAAGAAAATCGAAACAATGTACTACAATAGCTTCGCAATAGCGCGCAATCTTCTTGGAAAAGATATATTTGATTCGCTCTCTGGAGATGAACTCCTCGATTCGCCCATTTTGAGTATGAAGGATCCGGCGAGGTGAATCCATGAATTTGCAAAGCACACTTCACAGATATGAAGCGTTCGATAAGTCCATACATTTCGCAAGATCCATTTTAAATACGGAGCTTCCACCAAGCGACACACGTCCAGAATTTGCAAGGTTCATTTTAGATTTCGACGGGACGAGTCCATCATAACTCGTACGTACCATTTTAACTACGTAGACGTATCTGAAACATATGGACTTATCACATTCTTGCAACCGGGAGGTCTCGCTAACTGGAACGTACAATAGTTAAATATAGAAACACTTTTGCGGGCTGGTGCGATTCTTCGATTGAGCATCGAGTATCCCGATCGGGGACGTCAATGAAGATAGATTAGGATCCGAGAGAGCTCGCGCGGGACGTGACGATACGCTGCGTGAGATAAGTCTCGATAATTATCGATCGATCGCGTTGCACCATACCGCAGAAATGCTCCCGATAAGGCAAAGATGCATTCGCCCGATAGATTAACATCCAGGCGCGCATTAGAAGATATCCCGCCGGCTCGGTCTCAAGGTCGGCGCATCGGCGTGGAAAACGAGAGGGGAATGAGAGTGAGAGAGAGAGGGGAGGGGGCAGAGAGTCAAGAATATGAAAATTTCTCTTACACTGCATGTGCCAGCATCTCCAGATGACGTTGTTCAGTCTGATCTTGTCTTTCCATCGCAGTCTGATGCCTTTGAAGCGATTCCACTTGGGCGATGTCAGCTTCTGTCTGGAACAAATTCAAATGGCCATACGTCATACCCACTGTGATATCAAACTCCAGCCTTTATCGCAATACAAGCCGAATGTGGATCATCGTTTGTGCTTGCATGTATCATTCGACGCTCGATAAGGTAACAGCTCCAATTATGGATAGAGACCCAATTACGAGTCACACTTTGTTTCAATGTATTAAGGAAGTATTACGGAAAACAACACGGAAAAGAATTTTTTTATATTTCTTAGTTATTTTTTACAATTATATTCTAAGGTTGCACTTACAAATGTCCTTAATATTAAGGAAAAAAATCTAGGATATCAGTTGCTTGACCGACTTCTTAGATTTATGAAGCTGCTAGTAGATCGTACGTATAACATTATTCTATATAGATTAAACATAACGCAACGTTATGCGAGCGCGTAATATTTACTGATCTATAATTGGGATTTCCACGTTTCTAGTTATTTTTTTATAATTTGGAATAAACTAATGTAAAGTCTAATAATTTTGTTTTAAAATTGTGATGTTAGTTGTTCATGTTGATTATGGACGACAGCTTGTCTTAATGTTCGAACATTGAATTTACGTAAATGTTTGAAAGTTTACTGTTAACTTTAAGTGACTCATAATTAAGACTGTTATCTTACTCGTAAGATTAATTGTATATTCCATCGCGCGTGCATAATGTGTGTTTTTCTGTTATGTGCAACGCGCAATAGAAAAAGATGCAAGTCAGTGAACCAGCGATTCAATGAAACACGTTAGTTTATCCTCCTGCCTCGAAAACATTTCAATCAGACGGATCAGGCAGACGTGACGGCATTAAATAGACATAGCAAATAATTTCGACTCGTCAGCATTGTAAGTGCTTGCGACTTCGGCGGCCCCGCTGTTGCGGGGAGAGACAGAACGCGTCGTTTCGCGCTTGAAACCACGAAATTTTCCGAGAGCGCGATCAAAGGCGTCCGGTGAGTTTCCACGCGTAGGTTCGACAAATGTTTGCACGCACGTGTCTGCGTTTCTTTTTTGGGATGTTCGGTCGGCGAACCGAGATCTATGATTGAGTTTCTTCGAGTAAAAAAACTTCGAGTAAAAAACTAGCTTCGCTTGGATATGTTTCTTTCATAATGTGCACATTATCGCATTGTTATCGTAACTTAAGCTAAACTTAATTTTGCAATGAAGCATAAGTAAACCATCGAGTTACGCTGATGTATGTCTTAATGGTTCCTCATTTTTCACATCGAGAAAAAGACAAATCCTGCACTCAGGTAAGTGTTATCTGTTCTAAGTATTTCATAAATTTACATATCCGTAAGTTCACTATAAATTCATTATATAAATATCAAATTTATTCAAAATACTTCTTTCCAGTACAGGATAATAAGCTTTTCTTAAATTTATGTGATGAATAATCTTAAAACTAACTATATTATCAAAAAAATATTCTTAGTATGGAGATAATCATTACTTAAAAGAAAAAAGTAAATTGAATAATCGCTTTTCTTAGCAGTGGAGTGATATTTTGCTATATCGCGAGATATATTTGAAAATAATTTCGAATAATGCAATTTCCGACGGTTTGATTGGCAATAAGTAAGGTAAAAGTATCAACATTCGGACATTATTACTATTTTGGTCTTTATAAGGACGCATTTTAAATTTTCAACACAGAACGAGAACATATAGACATATATTGAATATATACATGTATTATATGTTAAAAATTTAAATATTCGTAATTAGAGGTCAAGACAAGACAAATGTGACCAGAGTTAGATACATGTCCGGGAATTGGTAGCTTTACCTTACATTAGCGCGTTAATAAATCATTCGTTTCACTTTCCTGCAAGGTGAAACTATCAATTTCAGTCTTTGAGAGACGCGCGCGGCCGGAATCTCGCGACAGACTTTCCGTTATCGTCGTTCGTCGATATATCGTCTCGCCGGCGAACAGTCAACAGCGAGAAGAAATATCATACAGTCGGGAGATTTCCACTTGCTCGTATCGCGAACGCGGACACGCAGAGGGTTCTTCTCCTTGGCATTAGACCCTGGTCTGTGTTGCCCGAGTCTTCTTTCACATTGCTATTTCCATTTTTCTGGTAACGCGATTAGATAGCTCGGCTCGTTGTTGAGAGCAAGAGAGACGGACAGACAAGCAGAGAGAGAAAGAAAGAGTGAAGGGGAGGAGAAAGAAAGAAAAAGAAAGAAAAAGAGAGAAATCGTATCTGAAAAAGAGAAAATCTTAGTGATCGGACGGAATTGTTTCTGTCCGAAATTCCGACATAATAATCCCGATAGTTTTAATTGGAGAAGCACCAATCGAAAACAATCGAAATGACAAGGAGTGCTTACGAAAGTGGGAATATGGACCATCTTTTTATTTTAGACGAAGAATCCAATATCAAATACAATAAATTGCATCAACGGCTGTCAGAGGTGTTAGCAAATATATCTCTCTAGTATATCTAGATTTTATTTTATTAGGAGAGGAAAATAAACTGTTCAAAAAGCACGAAAACTTCTTTAACATGGTGCAAAAAGTAGGATCTAGTAGGAAATAGAGTGGTGACGTTACATTCGTAATCGCGATTCAGCTGATGATGCTCATTCTTAAGTTAAAATCTGAATATCTCACCTAAGGCAAGTTTCAAGTAATGATTATTAATATAAACTTAAGACAGGAAGACAATTTTTTTGAGTCTTAAAGAAGAGAAGTTTTGTCAGAAGTTTTATCAGGAAGAAAACAAAGCGGCTTCTCTTGACGCAATAAACCACGTGACATTGACGCTAGACCTCTTTGACGGCCGGCAAGGATCTTAATAGTTATGTTTGTCTCAGTTACTGACAGATCGCAGTGATTACTTAAAAAATCAGCTTTTCTTCGTATTACCACTCTGTTTCGTATTGCCACCTTCTTCCCTATCTGTTAATCCTCAACTAGTCACACAGATTTGTAAAGGATTCTCCCCTCGTGCATCCTGATCGTGACGTGTGATATTTGTTTGGAGAATGTCTTCGGGAGTTTTAAATTAGCGTAAAACACGTTTCTTCGTGACAATTTCAGCAGTTCTGTTTACCCGACAATATGCGCAAGTCATCGCGAGTGCGGGCCCTCATATTTGCAACTAATGAGACACAGCATCGAGGGATTTCATTATCAGATAACGAGTTATTTGCTCATTGCACGATGCAACTCTCGCTCTCGCGATCAACCGTCAAAAGGCAGAGATTGTCGTATCGTTGTAAAACTCAACGGCGACAAAACAGAAAAAACAGATATTGACAGATTTGTCGGCAATGTCTAAGCGAGGCGATTTCTAAAAAAAAAGAAGAGTAGAAACATCGATAAGTGAAACGTAAGTGTAGCGAATATAGTGAAGAATTTCAGTCGTTACTTTGATAAGCGTCACGAAAACCGCGATACCGTTTATATTTTAAGAATCCTGCAGCTTTAATTATCTGACTTATAAGCGGAGAGCAAAGATCACTGTGGAAACTAAGCTAAATTTGTCGATCTCGATATTCCCGCGGCGGTCGCCACTCGAATCTCTCGCCACACAAAATATCCCGAAATCGATAAATTTTAAGGACAAATTCATTTCACACGACTCTCTCTGCGCGCGTACCTCCCTCCCCCCCCAAAAATATATATTAAATATATATATATATATATATATATAAAACTTCTTTAACTTTACTTCTTTAACTTTAAAAAACTATTCTTTAACTTTAAGAATATTATATTTAGAATATTTTCCTTTTATTCTTAGAAGAATTCTTTTACCGCCATACATAAGAGAATCATCTGTATCTAAAGATGAGATAATACTTTTTTGAGACGTGGTACTTTCTACTTATTCAATTCTCAAATTTTATGTTCCTTACAAATATCATACTAAAAGAGATTCTCTCTCTTTTCCAATTTTAAATTTAAAGAGAGAAGTTAAATTTCTTTTAAAAAGATTCAAGAAGAAAAGATTCAAGAATTTTACGTGAAATTTCTCTTGATTGCTTTCCTTCGGGGGAATCGGGACGAACACAAGGCAAAATGTCGCGAAGAAACGAGAACGTTTAGCGAGAAGAACTGTCAGAATTGCCTACAACTGCGACTGGGCATGGCGCAAAAATTCTGTTGCAAATTGGCTCACATGCATCGCGAGAGCAATTGAAATGGAACGGCATCTCGATAGAATGCGCGGCGTTCCTTCGAGTAGAAGTCGGACGATAGATCGCTTCCGCGCAGTGGCATCGACTACCATGCGTAAAAGCGCACGAGGAAATAGCCGGGGAACGGAAATAGCTGACTACCTCGCCATCGGCGAGCCTCCTCCTTTCTCGAGCTCTCGACCAGCCGAAGAGAGGGACTTGCGCGAATTCTCGTCCCGCCCCGCATTGCATTGCGTTGCGTTGCTCGCGATGCGTTTGTACGGAAGTGTTACGTTGGCGCGTACGTACGGTGTACGCATCACGAACGGCTGCGATGACGCAGTGGCCTTGGTCGATAAAAGACACGTTGTGCGACACACACAGGAGGAGAGGCCTTTACGGTAATTTAGCGCGATTCGCTTTTTCGTGACGCGCGAAAGCGGTCACACGATGCACCGCGATGCAGCAGCAGCAGCAGCAGCAGCAGTAGCGATCGAAGACGACGATTACGATCGTACGAAACCGCTGCGGTACACTTACGATGTACAAGTACAATTTCCAATGCCGCAAATAGGCGAAAACGAGTGTATTCGTGAGTCGGTTATCGCGTTTCGATCATCGCGAGCAAACACGGGAGACGGTTTTGTGGCATCGGAATCCGCACACGGCGAAATCGTAGCGATTTCGATTCTCGAGAGCGCCGATGTCCGATCTCGCGGATCTCACCTACGTGGGAATTCTACGAATATGGACATAGCATTACGTTTGACCAACATAAGAAATCGGATTCGGAAGGATGCTATTTCTCAAATCTCAAAAAAGAATGTCGCAGAACTGATCGAGAATTTTTACTCCGA